CTAAACCCATTGCTCAAGAAAAGTTAGAAAACTTTGTTTCTTATAAGATTTGTTTGCTTCGCTTTCCAGTAAAACCTGAGAGATCTCTCTGTAGAAGACACAGAAGAAGGATTCACAGACGATGACCGACGTTGACGAATCCGTCAGACGCCGTACCGCGGCCGTCTCCGAGTACCGGAAAAAGCTCCTCCAACATAAGGAACTCGAGTCCCGTGTTCGAACAGGTTCGATTCCAACATTGAATTTTAACCCAGATTCAATTGCTGTTTCCGAATCTATACTGAGATTGAATGGTTTTGAGTTACTTGAATCTAGGGTTTTCTCTCAATTGCTTAAAGTATTCACCTTTTGTTTACAACAAGAGTGTTCTCATGAAATCTTAAGACTTTGTGGTTCGGATTAGTTTAATCGATGTAAAGTTTTGATTTTTGTTTTTCACTTTGCTCTATGGTGTTTGCTATTAGCATATGAATCGAGTTTGTTATACGTGAATGGGTTGTGATTATAACTTAAAGTTTTGTTGTGTTATTGTAGCTAGGGAGAACTTAAGAGGAGCTAAAAAGGAATTCAACAAAACTGAGGATGATCTCAAGTCTCTTCAAAGTGTTGGTCAGATTATTGGAGAAGTTCTTCGACCACTAGATAATGAAAGATGTAATCTTTTCTCCTTCCCTTTTAATACCTCTTTTTTGCTCATTGGACTTTGGTTGTACTACTATCAGTTGCTTTCTATGGTGTCTGAAGCATAAAATCTTGCTTTTTTTTTGTGTCTTAGTGATTGTCAAAGCGAGCAGTGGTCCTCGTTATGTGGTGGGTTGCCGGAGCAAAGTGGATAAGGAAAAGCTAACCTCGGGAACTCGAGTTGTTCTGGATATGACAACACTAACAATAATGCGAGCCCTTCCTCGAGAAGTAAGTTTGATTTGTTCATGTGTCCAGTTCTGTTATAGTTTTTCTTTGTAGTGTATGTCTCATGACAATCACGTGGGTTTTCTTTTGATTGTAGGTTGATCCAGTTGTGTATAACATGCTTCACGAAGACCCAGGCAACATTAGCTACTCCGCGGTAGGTGGATTAGGTGATCAGATCAGAGAACTCAGGGAATCTATTGAGCTACCTCTCATGAATCCTGAACTTTTCCTCAGAGTAGGGATCAAACCTCCAAAGGTAATTATTTTGTATGCCCTTGACCTTTCTTTCTTTTTCCAATAATTTCCAGGCGCTTATTTAGACTTCATCATGTTGTGATGGTCAGTATGGTTTAGCTGATTAAAAATTTTCTACATATCAATGCAGGGTGTCCTTCTTTATGGACCTCCGGGTACTGGAAAAACTCTACTAGCTAGGGCTATAGCCAGCAACATTGATGCTAACTTCTTGAAGGTATAATCTTTTTCTACACTGTTTTTGGGAACTTTATGGCATATATGTGGTTTAATCAAATCTTACTCCTCTTTTAGGTTGTATCAAGTGCAATCATAGATAAATACATTGGAGAAAGTGCTAGGTTGATTCGGGAGATGTTTAATTATGCCCGTGAGCACCAGGTAAATCTTGCTTTTAATGGGTGTATATATTCTTCTTCAACTTTTCATATCTATAATATTTGTATCACATTCTTGACTTGATTATGAACACTTTCTCTCTGTTAGCCTTGTATTATTTTCATGGATGAAATCGATGCTATTGGTGGGCGTCGTTTTAGTGAGGGAACTAGTGCTGATCGTGAAATTCAAAGAACACTAATGGAGTTACTCAATCAGCTTGATGGGTTTGACAACCTCGGAAAGGTACTGCTCTCTAATCTGATGTTAAATCTTGATCAAACCTGGCGTCCATGACCATGTGAATAAGATTTCATCGTGATGAGATATAGTGGTTGTCTTGAAATATGTTAGATATCTTGATCGAATTGTGCTTCTTCCTAACTCCTGTCTCATAGAATTGCTTATACACTAAAAGCCATTATGGTGCTATTAAATGTCTGTGGGTCTGAATGAATGTGTTTTCGAATATTTATTAGGTGAAAATGATTATGGCCACAAACAGGCCAGACGTGCTTGATCCTGCGCTTCTCCGTCCGGGAAGGTTAGATAGAAAGATTGAGATCCCTTTGCCAAACGAGCAATCAAGAATGGATATTCTCAAGATCCATGCAGCTGGAATCGCCAAACATGGTGAAATTGATTACGAGGCTATTGTCAAACTTGCTGAGGTTAGTTTTTTTTCCTTACAATAATCAATGTGTTTGTTAGTGTGTTCTTTCCCTTGACTGAGTTTCTCACTAAACGTTTCACTGGTCCAAAAAGGGTTTCAACGGTGCTGATCTGCGTAACATATGCACTGAAGCCGGAATGTTTGCAATCCGAGCAGAGCGGGACTATGTGATCCATGAAGATTTCATGAAGGTATGTATATTTATATAAAATTTGGTTAAATCATGTTGTTATCTTGGTTGTGACATGGGAAATGAACCAATTTTTTCAGGCGGTAAGAAAACTCAGTGAAGCCAAGAAACTCGAGTCAAGTTCGCACTATAACGCTGATTTCGGAAAAGAGTGAGAGTACACAACTCTTTTCTTTTGCTTTAGAGATGAAGAAAGAGTCAAAAGGACATTGCAATGGCAGTTTCGTATTATTATTGGCAATGTGAAACTTGTTTGTTTTTACTTTTTGAAGAGCAAAGCTTGTTGTTGAGTTTGTGCTTAGTTAATTCGTTTTAGTAATTTAGTGCTTTCAAACAAGCCATTTGTCTCTTTTCTCATTGGTACTATGGCCTAATTATGTTTGCGTCTTTGACTTAGTAACTAAACATCAATTAGTCTAAAACTAAACAAGTTACAAACATCGACTGAACCAATTGCTAGATTCAAAAATTGTAATGTAAGAGACCAAAATCTACTAATTATCAGAACATGTACATCGACCGATCTAAAAGACGAAATATATATATATTTCATGTTTAGTTACATATATATATATATATATATATAACTAGGATATACCCCGTGGTATACCACGGGGCCATAACTTGATATATTTGTTTGGTTGATCATTTTTTTAGTTGGTATATATAGTCTAGTTTTATAAGTGTGTATTTTATTTTAATTTTATATAATTTTTTGAATTTATATTATCAGTAGATTCACAGATATATATGGTCAACCCGCGATACACCGCGAGACAATTTTGTTGTAAATAAAAAATTTTATTTTAACTTAACCCGTAAAAGATTTTAAATATAGACAATCCGTAATAAAAAATATAATCATATTTATGTATACTCAAACCCGTTCAATCATATTTACGTACAATTTTATTATATTTTTAGAGTTCAAATATTAATAATACTTTAAAATTTTGTAGAGTTCAATTTTTTTAATATTTTTAATATTCTATAAAACTAAAATTAAATATTCTAATTTTCATCTTTTAAAAGTTTTAATATTTATAATACTTTCAAATTTTAAAAAATAAAATAAAATTTATAATATTTTGAAACCTTTTAAAAGTTTTATTTCTCTTAAATAAGGAACCATATTAAACTGAATAAAATTTTTAATTTGGATACCTGAGAAATCAAAGTTCATGTTCATTTGTAGTGGTGAACATATTAGTCGTATTTATAATGGTTTGAACTATAATCTAAAATTTTATACTTTATGTAGACGTTGTACATATATTTTTTCCTTTATTGATTGAGTTATATATATGCGTCCGTTTTCTAAAATTTAAATTGCAAAATGTGTGGAAAAAAATTTGTATTTTTATTATAAATTTCTTTTATGTAATAATATAAATTAAAAACAAATAAGATTATATAAATATATTGGAGAGATATTCGATTTATTAAAGAGAGAGTTTAGGAAACAGTTTTGATGTAATAAATATTTGTTTCCATTTTTGCGATTTGCTTGTGAGTTAATTACAAAATTTACTTTTAAGTTTTGTTATTTATTCAAATAGTAAGGATTTGATTATGTAAATAATACAAAATAAAAGGTTATAATCCAAATTAGATTTTAGTACAAAATGTACTTCAAAAATGTTAAGATAGATATTCAAAGAGGTTCTGGGTCGAAACTCATGCATTCCCTAAGACCCGAGACCAAAACATGTTATGTACTTATATGGTCTCGTCCCAAGTGCTATTCGAACCTGCGATCTCTAAGTCTTTGCTAAAAATCTTTACCAATTGAACTATTAGCACTTGGTTAAAAGACAAAATATTGATATCGAGCATTCAAAATGTTTTTGTTGCATGTCCATTTGAAGTATATATGTAAGGAAATTACGGTGTATTGTTTTGTCCATTTCTCATAAATATGTCAGACAATTATCTAAATATTTTTTTCTGATTTATAATGGTATTCAAGATTTATTAGATTTAATGAACAAGTATACTAGAGTCTAGGGTTTTCTTGTGAAAAGTCTTCTGAAAATTTTACAACTAAACTATTTTTTTTTTTTTTTTTTTACACAACTAAACTATGCTTTTGAATGAATTTTATATGTAGAAAAGATGCTCATAAAAAAATTCTATAAGTAACATATGTAGACTTAGCAGTTTCCCTTTTTTTTTTGTTCTTCTTCTAAGTCTCTAATAATCATTAATCAATAACTTAATATGATTAGGACTTAAATTAGCAGAGCTAGGACAAGTTTTTCAAAGAGAAAATTAACATGCCGAGATCATCTATGTCGTAAATCACCAAATCAGCTTTGATTCATTGTATCCTACACTATTAAATGACTAGAGCTTTCATCTAATAACAATAGAGTTTACTTGCAAATTATCTCAAAACACACACAAAAATACTAAAAACACGTTTCTTTGATTCCCAATGCAAAGAAAAAGTTAAGATCATTATGATTAGCACGAAATTTTCCGAGTTTAACTTTTGACTTTTCTCTTCATTAATCATCTCTTTATGTCACACTATAAAAATGCACCACGTAAATACGAATAGTTCTCATCACATTATCTTTTACGTGAAAAATGGCGATCCTAACTCCGGTCATAAAACTCGTGGTGTTCAGGCAAAGTCTTCGACCACATTCAGCTATTGCATTCCTAGTTGAGTTTCTTTGCTTTGTCTTAGAGCTACTCGACAAAGAGAAAGACCTAGCTAAAATATTCGGAATCATATTGGCTTGCAACACGTTAATCTTCACTTTACTCGACATAATCCAAAACCTAATCGAAGAAGAAGTGAGAATAGGAAGATGCGGACGAGTGTTTTGGCTTTACACAAAAGATGGTAGCCTCTATTGGCATACACTAAACGCATACCAACTCATGCTATGCATCATCCCGCTTTTCGCCTCGGGGCTCGAACTCGTCCCACAAGAAGCTTATCGTGTTCTTGCCCCTAATCAAGAAACACAAGATCCTAGCACAATACATACACAAAACCAGATTCCTCAAGAAGATGTTGGGCTACATCAAGATTCACAAGATTGCATTGCACCTCATCAAGTTCAATTAGATGGTATTGAGCTAGCACAAGGAACAATTGTTCTTGTTCATGCTGAGCCTCTTCAAGACATAGTAGAGGATGGTATCGAGCTAGAGGAAGAAGTTGTTGTTCAAGTTGGGCCTAATGAAAAAGGCCCATAAACTATCAAATGCGGCCTGAATACAAACATTTATATCTTCAATGTAAAAATGTACTTTGTGTCTTAAAAACTTATGTACTTGTGATCGTACATACGACTTTGGTAAGAGAATCTTTGTTATATACATAAGAAAGAAAAAAAAAATCGACTCTTCAATGTCTGTGGAGTCAGTGAATAAAAAACGACACGTGTGAACATAAAGGAAGAATCAGAGCCGTTGGATCAAAATGGTTAATTTTGTAATTTTGACTCTTTCACGTGTGCCCTTTCCTCACCCCGAAAATTATTTTTAATTTCCACTTTTATGTTTTTTTTTGTTTTCTGTAATATTCGAAGAAAAAAAAAGAGAGTAAAGGAAAGATCCAGACAAAAGCCTAAGCAGACCTCTTTGTCTTCTTCGTCTCTCATCTCTCTCTCTCTCTCTTTGTCTCCGCCATGACAAGCTCTTCATCTCCTTCACGCAAGGTTGTTGTTTAGATTCTCTCACTCTCTCTCTCTCTCTTTTGTCTTAATCTGATTTCTTTCTCCGATTTTAGGATTTTTGATTTTGGTTTTTGTAGGCGTTGAGCAAGATCGCTTGTAATAGGTTACAGAAAGAGTTGTCTGAGTGGCAAGTAAATCCACCGACTGGGTTTAAGCACAAAGTTACTGATAATCTTCAAAAGTAAATTTTTGATTTTTTCGAATCTTTCATTTTTCTGATTTCTGATAATAATCTTCAAAAGTTGAGATTTTTTATTTGTTTTCTTTGTGTTGTGGTGTGGTGTGATGTAAAAAGATGGATAATTGAGGTAACAGGAGCACCTGGTACGCTTTATGCTAATGAGACTTATAATCTTCAGGTTGAGTTTCCTCAACATTACCCTATGGAAGCTCCTCAGGCAAGTTTTTGATTTTTAGGTTGAAGTTTGTGTTGTTGATTTTAATTAAAGGGGTTTTCTTGAAATTTCTTAGGTTTGGGTTTGATTAACTGGAATCAGTGTTTTTGTGTTTTTGCATGTTCTTGAGATAGTGGTGTTTAACTGCTTGGTGTTGTGTGTTCTGTTTCTGATTTGATGTGTTTTGGTGTTTGGTCAGGTGATATTTGTTCCACCAGCACCGTTACATCCTCATATTTACAGCAATGGGCATATTTGTTTAGGTAATTTTACTCTTCAGTTTTTACTCTATGCATGTGTTCTTGTTTTTGGTTTCTCTGAAATGGTAACTCAAAATTGTGTGTGTGCCTCTTCTACTGTGTGTGATTTTCTCAGAGTGCATAGTTTTTATCTGATTGGTCTTACTTTGTGATGAACATGTTAGTGAAAAGTGTTTGCATACATAAAACGAGGGGAACAACATGATGCATACATATATTGGTTGCTGATGGATTGTAATGTGGCCAAAAGAGAAGTAATATCATCATTTTTATTCAGTCTGTTGTCCAATGCTCAACTTAGTGTTGGCATAATCTGAAATTTTGTGTGTGAAATGTGTTTATAAAACACCATGAAGTAAGCTGATACCGTTCCGTTGGACTTTTAACTGGATTACTTAGTAAAGTCTGAATCTTTTACTTTGAGTTGCTCGTTATATTGAACTGTGTTTTTGGTTCATTAAGTTGTGCAGTCTTCTCCTCTTCTTTGGATAAGCAGAAACAGTGTTCCTTGCACATCATATATGTTTGCTGTTTTCCCAAACATGAAGAATTTGAGAGTTTTTTTGGCATTTCATAATTTGTTGTAGAAGATAAACAAGATGTTACAATACACCAGTCAAGATTACACCTCAGTTAGGAAAGTCCAATAGAACTATGCGATAAATATGACATTCTCTCTTACTTCTTTTTGCAGATATTCTCTATGACTCCTGGTCTCCAGCAATGACAGTGAGTTCAGTCTGCATTAGCATTCTCTCTATGCTATCGAGTTCACCCGAAAAGGTTTGCTTTTCTGGCCTCCCACACTTTGTATTCTGACAAACTGAACATTTTGAACCATTGACACAACACAACTCTTATCTATGCCTAACTGTCTAATATCTATCTCAGCAACGCCCGACTGATAATGATCGATACGTTAAGAACTGCAAGAACGGGAGGTCTCCAAAAGAGACAAGGTGGTGGTTCCATGACGACAAGGTTTGATGAAGATGATGATGACCTAAAAATGATGTCTCCTTTTATTTCACAAAGAGGTTTATATAATTTCCCCATGACTGATAATACTAATTGAAATCCCTCATGGCCTCCACTCTTCTTCCTTTTTTTTTTGTACGGATTATTATGTATAAATGACATCTGAAATATGTTTCAGTGTCTGAATTAACACCTTGTGCTTTTCTCCTCTCTCTCAAGTAATCGAGATTTTAGGCAAAAAATTTGTATGTTCATCATCATATTCAAGTATGAGCTGCCAACTTAAGTTGGTGCAGGAGACCGATTTGAGTTCAATTGATCGCCAATTTTTTCTTCTGCCATGAAATACATTTGTTGTATAAATCAAACCAATACATGCATTTGTGGGTTGTGGCAATAGAATCCGACACAAAGTGGTCCAAACAAGCTGTGGCCAAGTAATTTCAATCATTCCCCTGGAGTAGTAGTACTAGACTGTCACAACTTGGTAGGTAGACTATTTTGTATACAGACCCATCAATACAAAACATAAAAAAAGTTGGATTATTTTAACATATGGTCCTATAAAAAAGTTGAAGAGAACCTGAGAACAATTGGGACCAAACCACGAATGCATCAGAATATTAGGATTAAGACTGTTGAAGTAATGAGTTGTTGAAAAGTCAAGATTGAATGAAAACGATGTAAAGAGAGAACACAACTCTAACATAACAAGACAAACTCAAGAGTTAAACATGAACGAACAATTAGCATAGCTAGCTGCGAGTAATCAAGTTTTTGCAACATTTATTCACCACACAAAGAGCACAATTAAAGGTCAAAGACCCATTTGGTGAACTTATTAAACATCAAACATATTAGCAGAATAGGTAGAGAGAGAGAGAGAGGGAAGAAAAAGGCGAAATCAAGCTGCAGCAACAACGGTGGCCGTGTGCTTTTCGAGCTTGCTGACGATTTCTTCTTTCGCAGCTCCAACAACTGTATCGACAACCACTCCTTCTTTCATGAAGATGAACGTCGGCATTGCTTGAACGTCGAAATCCTTGGCAACACTCTGCACAACAAAACACCAACAAACAAGTTCAATGACCAGAGGTTATTATGATTACTAGTACTACGTGTAAGATTGATGATGAGAGACTCACGTTCAATTCGTCAACATCGACCTTGAAGAACACTACATCAAGGTGCTTCTTAGCCAACTCAGCAAAGATTGGTGCAATGAAACGGCAAGGTGGGCACCATGTAGCAGTGAAGTCAATCACAATCTGTATCAATCCCACAAAACCAAGTTTTAGAGAATAACAAAAGAAGCTATAACATCAATGGAGAATAATACAAAAACAGGTTCATCAGATAAAGCTAACACAGAACATTTCATATCATACTTTAGTCAACAAAATCGAAAATTTCTAGATCTTCAATCAAGTCAGTGAACTGAGTTTGCATAGTTGACAAACTCGATTTCAAAATTCACTTCTTAGGGTTTCAAATCTCTGGAGATCTTACGTTTCTAAACAATTAGGGTTCATCAATTTCACATCACGGAACTCACAAAAACTCGATTCCAGATCAAATTCAAAGCTAATTCTGAATCAATCACAACCAAAACCCACAAAATCAAACAAACCCTAAATCCTGAATCTCAGAAAACATGAGATCGAATCGGAGAGGGAAGTAGAAAGTACCAGTTTCTTGGAATCGGAAGCGGTCTTAAGCTTCTCGTTCCACTCTTCGACGTTGTGGCAAGCGATAACTTCTCCTTCAGCGGCCATTGTTGCTTCTTTCTTCTTCTGTGTGTGATTTGAGATTTGGATTTTGGTTTTCTTCTTCTTCTTCCGTCGAAGTGTCGGTTCTTATAGAGGGAAGAGGCGGAGAGAATCTTACTACTTTTTTATGCCTTTTTTATATATTTTATTTGTTTTAATTGGAATAATAATAATAATATTATTTAAAGACCAAAGACCACGTTGTGGAATTGGATGCGGGATTGGGAGATCTAACGGTTGAGATTGAAGAATACAAATCGGATGCGGCCTCGGGGGACGCGTGTAATGTAAGCACATTGGGAAAATATAATAATTTGTGAGACTTGTGGTTATATTATTTGTTTTATTTGTATTGGTGGTCTTCTATTTTAATTAAGAAACCAAATAAGAAAAGAATATCTAATTATTAAATAATTTTAAAAATTTATAAAAGTATATATGTTTATTATTTAATTCATGGAGATCTGATAACTTAAGATTTGATCATGTAGACTAAACATAGTTTATTGGGCATTTTATGTTCTAACCTTCGACCACCTTCATTGGTGGTTATTAATACAAGTTGCTTATTGTAGAGAGAGATAAACATATTAATAAAAAGTTATGTGAGATATATTCAAAGTTGCTTAAACAAAAGATTTAAAAAAGTTTTGAAAGAATTTTTCACTAAATAAGCAACCCATCAAATTAAATAATAATATTTGTATAATTTCAATAATAAACACCTCATATTAAGTATCCATGGTTGGAGATGGATAATAAAAATTGATTGTCTTTGTGTTGTTTTCACCACAACTTAGTGGAAAAATTTTGTATACAATTTTAGAATTAACAAAAAGAACAACATAGTTTAAAAAAAACTAGAAAAAGCTTCGACGATTGAGGAGATCCCATGAGGAAGAGGATAACACCATTTTTGTAGCCGCCGATACAAATAAAAGTATTTTGGAACAACAAATATCATTTTTGTAAATTACACATGCATATTAGTATATTATACGTTCCATCCAAGAAAAGAAAAGATAACATCATTTTTGTAGCCGTCAATTCAGCCGTCGATTCAGCATGTAGCCGTCATTTTTTGTAATCATAGAACCCGAAGATATATAAGTAAATTGTGCGAAGAATATCCAGCACATTTGGATGGGTAAACGGTAAAACACGCGGACCCTTTAAATTGAGTTAGATTTTTTGTTTCTTTTCTAATTTTTAGACCAATTTGTCTCTCTGAATTTCAGTTAAACCTTTTCTTCATAACTAATCCAGTGGTAATTTTGGGACAAAATTTTGGACATGTCAAAATTTCTACTTCTCTTTTAATTATAAGAAGATATTTTTCTTTTAAGCTATAAAGCAATTATGAGAGGTGGATTATAAAACTGAGTGTTTCTTTTCCTTAGTGTTTTTCTGTCTAAAATTTCACGTTTTTGTAATTTGAAGGCAGATTGTTTAGCGCACTATTCGAGATTGCTAGATTCTCAAGTTTCGTTTGTAAACTCTTTTACATTTGTTTGAATTACCAATAAAGAAATAATATATTAATAGAAGTTTGGTTAACAAAAAAAGCAATTATGAGAAGTGATAATCTTTTACTTTAACTTTTTATTTATGTAGTAGAGTTTTATTTTCAACAAAAATAAAAAATAATCAGTAAAGCTTAATCTTCTTCAATATAATATGTTAAGTTATGTGCAAGCCCATAATTTAACTTGTTGGTGAGCTCACAAATGATACAAGGATGCTAGATAAAATGTATTGTAGTGCTTAAGACATATTTAAACCAAAGAGTGTGAATACAAAATTAGATCCCCGATTTTCTAGTTCAAGGAAGGTAAATTAAAATTCTATAACTACTACTATCTTGGTAACATTATTTTTTTTTCAGTTAACTTTTGAGAATTTTAAAAATATTTATTTATTATTTTATTTTCAAGATGCCCACAATTTTTCCACGATTTCTTACTCATACTTCTAACTTTTGTTTATTCAGTTTTTCGATCATTTTTAATTGTTTCTTTATTAAACCAGTAATCTTATTATACATATTCTATATTAATTTACTTTAATTTCTAAACTCTCAAACACCATATATCATCTATTGTCGATCCAACTACACAGTGTTGCCATACTTTTATCTTTTTTTCTTTTTTATTCGAACGTAAAATAATTTGCAATCGAATACTTTATAATGACGTTTCCCGAATCTTGTCGTAGTTATTATTTTTGTAAACAATTTTCCTTGTAATTACATTCACCAACCAAAAATTCCTAAACAGTAATTATCGAGAAATTTTGGTTTACCATAAATTGGGTAAATTTACCATAACAAAATTCACAATTCTAGTATTTTTGCTTTAATATTATTTTTATTTTTTTTACTAAATTCCTTCTATGAGTTGTGAATTTGTGTTTTTATTTTATCCTTTTCACATATAAAAGCAGAGACGAGACGGAAAAAAAAAAAAAAAGCTAGAGAAACAAATCAAACCCTCTTAACTCTTAAGGTGTCTTAGGGTTTCAATCGAAGCGGGAGAGAAGAAATTGCCGAAGAGAAAAGCCATGGATGAAGCTTTGACGAACGCTGCTGCAATCACTGACCAACGCCAGAAGATTGAACAGTACAAACTCATCCTCTCCTCTGTTCTTTCATCAAACGATCTTCTCCAAGCGCAACGATTCATCGATCACAGTAATTTTCTCTCATCTTCACTAATTGAACCTCATAAGAGCTTCCACTACTGCTTTTTCTACTTTTTTGGATTCGGTGTATGTGAGAATTTGTGATTCGATTTTGATTTTTGTTTCGTGACAATTTGGAAAATTTTGTTATCTAGTTCTTTCCGATGATGTCCCGTTGGTGGTTTCGAGACAGCTTTTGCAATCGTTTGCACAAGAGCTTGGGAGATTAGAACCGGAAACGCAGAAGGAGATTTCTCAGTTTACACTTACTCAGATTCAGCCCAGAGTTGTTTCCTTTGAGGAACAGGTTTGTTTTCTCTTTCGTGTGCATATACAAAGACCTTATTGTTTAGTATCAACCGTGTACTTTTTCAAACTCTAATTTTGGTTTTCAATTTAGTTTAAGTTGAGAGGTTTATGAATAGACAGCTTGTGGTATTGTATCTCTTGATGTTTGAAATCTATACTGAAAGCTACTTTGAGGTGTTTGATTACTAAAGATGATGTATTTTGGGATAGCTGAGACAATGTACATTGTGTTGCTTTACAATTTGTATATTTTATGAGAGGAAACTGTTTTTTGGGTGTATTTGCAGGCACTTGTTATCAGAGAAAAACTTGCGGGTTTGTATGAATCAGAGCAGGAATGGTCTAAAGCGGCACAGATGTTGAGTGGCATTGATCTGGATTCTGGAATGAGGTGTGTTGCAGTGAGCAGAATTTTATTTTAATTTTTCCCTTTATGTTCTTTCTTAATTTTGTATTTGTGGTATTCTTTATTAGGGCCGTTGATGAGAACTTCAAGCTCTCAAAGTGTATCCAGATTGCTCGTTTGTATCTCGAGGTTTGGCTTTCCCTTCCATGTACATATGCACAATAGATTATGTCATTTTCATTAAGTTAGATCTTAATAGCTCAAAGGAAGCCATTTTTTATTTAACGTCAAATATTTGGACATTTTTAAGAGAGATTTTCTTCAACTCAACAAGTCTCTTGACCAGATGTAAGTGTCATGAAACTAGGAATCTCGACTGTGTTAACAGCATTATTCTGCTTCACAATATCACCTTGTTTACTTTGCTTCTGGAGATTAAATTGAGGCTGCCAGGGTTGTATAGATACATCAGTTGGATGTTTGTTGTTCTCTAATACCTTTTTATTTTGAACATCTGCAGGATGATGATGCTATAAATGCAGAAGCTTTCATAAATAAAGCTTCTTTCTTAGTGAGCAGTAGTCAGAATGAAGTTTTGAATTTGCAGTACAAGGTTGGACCCCCTTAAACTAAGACTTTATTTGCTGGGTAATTAAGTAGCACTCGTTTTCATGTTTTAATATATTTTTGTTTCAGGTCTGCTATGCTAGAATTTTGGACATGAAAAGAAAGTTCTTAGAGGCTGCACTTCGGTATTACGGTATCTCCCAGATAGAGAAACGCCAAATAGGGGATGAGTAAGTGAACTGACTTATCTTTCTGCTACATTTTTTTCTTCTCAAATTCTTCTCTGTTGGTTTGCTGTTCGAATGGATATAACGATTAATCAACATTCTATCTATCTTTGGACGCTCTTTATTAATAGCTACTTTCCTACTTTTTAACCCTTCACAGTTTGATTGAATTGTCCTCCTCTTTTCTCTCCAATACGTTTTTAACATCTCGTTATTCTGAAAGGGTTCTAACTTTTTCTAATATTTTCAGAGAGATCGATGAGAATGCTTTAGAGCAGGCCCTATCCGCTGCTGTCACATGTACCATATTAGCTGGAGCTGGTCCTCAGCGATCTCGTGTTCTTGCAACTTTATATAAAGTAATAATAATTCCCTCTGGATCATTAAAAGAAAGCTATTTATTCCCTGCTTATATTGTTTTTAATTTCTTTCTCAATCTACAGGATGAGCGTTGCTCCAAGTTGAAGATTTATCCTATCCTGCAGAAGGTTCGATATCTTATTACCTACAAATCTTGATTTTTTTTCCTCTAGTAGACAGATATACACATGCATTTGGACATATAGTAGCTTGAACTCACATATCACTCCTGTTTAACCGCTGTGTGACGTTAAGCTTTGTCGGAACTGCATGCTAACTTTATTCTTTTTATGTAACTTTCCAGGTATATCTTGAAAGGATTTTAAGGAGACCAGAGATTGATGCTTTTTCAGAAGAACTAAGGCCACATCAGGTATGGACTGCGAATAAGATTTATATGTAGTTTTTGGATATCATCTGATTTGGTAGGTTCATAACAAGATTTTACCTTGTTCATTTTCAACAGAAAGCATCTTTGCCCGACAAATCCACTGTTCTTGACCGTGCTATGATTGAGCACAATCTTCTAAGTGCAAGCAAACTCTACACAAACATAAGGTATGAGATAAAATTAGTAACTTGTTTATGTTTCTGAGACTTGTTTGTTTTTCTAAACAATTTTGTATCTTAGGTTTGATGAATTGGGAACTCTGCTTGGGATTGATCCAAGAAAGGCAGAGAAGATAGCAGCTAATATGATTGGTCAAGACAGAATGAGGGGTTCCATTGATCAGGTAAGCAATAAAAATATCTTGTCGGTTGAGCTATGTAAGCAAAGCCTTGAAGAGAATTCTTGTTAGTTTTGATAATCAAGAAGGTTCTTAGACGTGTTTAAATATGTTATGTTACTGTCCAGGAGGAGGCTGTGATACATTTTGAGGATGACATTGAGGAGCTACAACAATGGGATCAACAGGTTCGTTCTCTCTCTCGCTCTCTCCCCCTTCCCTCTCTTTAAAGCAGAGATATATGTTTGTTTGTTTTACTGGTGTGGAATATGACTTTAGTGGAATCTGTGCAGATATCGGGATTATGCCAAGCTCTCAATGATATTCTGGACGGCATGGCAAAGAAAGGCTTGCCTGTTCCTGTCTAATTGATTCCAAGCCGTGAGATTAATTTGTATTAGCCAAGCCCAACAGATCGAGTCTCATACCTAAGTTTTTGCCAAATTGCTGTGTTTTTTGGGACAGTTCTTTTCACCTCATTTGCCTTCTTGCAAATTCATGTCTATGCCTTTAGATTAATTGATACAGAAAGGGAAAGAGGGGATTGAAAAAAGATATTAAGAAAGTTGCAAAGAGGTTCAAGGTACATTTTTACCTCGGAACGTATTATTTTTATGCATAGATAAGCAGTATTTACATATAGCATTGGTCTGTTCAGTTTCTTATTTTAAAAATTTTCATTCTTAAACCAGCAGACTTTTGCAAATTTAAGAAATTATCATCATAAAGATAACAAAATTTTGAAAGATTTGCAAGAACGACTAGTTAAATGTGTTATTATAACACCAAACAATTGAAGTCAAATGGTAAAAAGGAGACTACATTTCGAGGTTCCATGTGGTTTCTGCAGTCACTTTCGGCGTTTTCACTTCCTCCGCCAGATTCACAGACGCACATACCTGTTGAAACAACCAGGAAACGAAATTTTCATGTGTTATGTTCATGAAGCTTTATATAGTTGATGCTTAGAAGAAAGCAAATCCACTGTCTAAATATGATTTGCCAATACACAGAACAATCTAAAACTGTTGATCATGATGCAGCAAAGATATACATTAACTATTCTACCCCAATGGTTCATGCCTCTATGTCAATAAACTATGCATCTCATGTAGGAATCAGTTTCATGATTTTCATCTATCAACTCAGTTTCCCCAAGTTTATAACGCCCAAGTCACTAATATCACGATTTAACTCTAAAGAACAAAGGTTACTATTTATATGAACCATGACTGTAAATGTTCATTTTTACCTTGAATCCACTTGCTTTAGAGTTCTTTGACCATTCCAAACCAAGCAACTTACTAGACGTCTGATAAGTCGCCTTGACAGAGTCCCCACTGTAAAACCTCCGAGAAACCGCGAAATCCCACGTATTCTTGGCCAAGTCATAACACGGCTCAAACGTAGCTAACCCTCCATGAGCATAAGTATACTTAAGCTTACAGTTGTTTGTACCAACCATGTAGTTAGCAGAGAGTTTGTTTGCTGAATCAATCACAAGACTCCCATCGACAATAGTTCTGTTATCTGCTCTGCTATGTATGTAAGTCAAATTCAAAGGCTTCTCAGCTATCCTTACTGTGTTCATAAACTGAAACCTAACATCCTGTAACACCATAGCAAATGAGAAAACATCTTAATAAGTCCTAATTCAAGTGAAGAATTCACAAAACCCTAAACCCCAAAACTCTAAATTCTACTTGAAATCAATTCAAAGCAATTACTGCGAATTCAAAAACACTTCCCCTATGTTTGATTCTGCTTCAATTCTTCATAAACCAAAACTGATTTGAATCAAAGATGAAAATCATAAGAAATAAAAAACTGATTTTTTTTTTTTTATTTATATTCTCACTTCCATTGAAATTAAGGAGCTTTGACTTAATCAAAAGAGGAGAAGCAAAGAGTGGACCTTCTTAGGGACGTTGTACTCGACGATGAAGGAACCAGGCTTCTCGACGGCGAGAGAGAGTCCGTTCAAAGTAGGGCCGGCGACGAAGGTAGCATCGGTCATGGTGGCGCGTAGCTTTATATCTCCGGCGTTGAAGGCGAATGAACCGATTCCGCTGGTCTTGTCAGCATCGTACTTGCCTTTGAGAGATGCCTTCATCGCCATTTTCGCACAGCAGAGAGAGAGAGAGAGAGAGCTCAGAGTTTGGTGAGGGAGGAGGAGACGATAAAAAAGCACGGTGTTATTATTCTCCGCACGCGTGTTTCTCGTTCGCACGTGCGAATTTGGTCGTCTTTGGTGTTTTGAAACCTTTGGTTTGGTTCAGAAGGTGTTAAGATAAAAAAAACAATGTGGCATCCATTGTGTAATTTGCAAGAAAGAGAACTTGGAAAATCACATTTCAAACCCTTCAAAGTGTCACTCACTAAACACTATAAACCATCAAAGGAGTTTTACTAAAAATTTAAACCTTAAAATTAGCTTCTTTTTTTTTTGCGTCGTCATAAAATATGAAAAAATAATGTTGTCCGTCGACATGAAATAGTTAGGTTTTAATTAGTTTAATTATTTACAAAATGAAAGAAAAGAAACAGAAAACAAAACTCTTCAACTTCTATGACTATTCACAGTTTGACCATGATATTTTTTTTTAATATGCATCTTCATTGGTTATGATTCAAACTGATTAATTTTTCATAAGGAACGAAAGAATCTTCTAAATCTATGTTTAGAGGATTCATATGGGGATGATTCTTCGGCGACGATGAAAAATCAATAGAAGTAAATCAAATCCTAATGGAGATGCATTGTGCCAACGAGGAAAATGAAAATAAACAAATGAGTTGAATATAATAACTGGAAGATTTGTGGTCAAACAGTTAGTAGTCGATTGAAATGATGAATATTTTTTTTTTATAAATAAGAAAACTAATTAAATTTTAATTAAACAAACATAATATAACTATTTCGTGTTGATGTCCATCAACATGAAATAGTTAGGTTTTAATTTGTTTTATTATTTAAAAAATAAAAGAAATAGTTTTTGAATCTGATCCGTACTTGCAGTGATATTTTTCTTGTTAAAATTCAAATCTTTATTCAAAACAATTGAGTTTGACATTTTTGATATATTTATTTGAAGAAATTTTTAAAGTCAATAAATTTATTGCATTAACGTTGTAGTTTTTGTTTTTGGTTACGTTGAGTTTACAATGATCTATAAAGAGCTAGCCTAACTTCATTTTTGAAATAAGAAATACAATACATTGTTTAATACAAAAAAAAAAGAATAAAGCTAGCTAATTTTAGCGAACAAAATATGTCTAAATTTAGCTCTAAGATTACTTTGCTTTTCAATGTTGTAGCTTTGGTGTGTGTATTTGTTCCGGTTTTTTCGGTCGAAGAAGTCAAAGTGAAATCATTATGGGATACTTGTCTTGTCAAAATCACTCCTAAGTGTACGTTTAATATAATCGCGGTTATTTTCGGAAATGGAACACTCTCTGATCTTTGTTGTAACGATCTCGTCAAAGAAAGAAAAGTGTGTCACGATACGCTTATAAAATATATTGTTGACAGACCTAGTTTGATTGCCCATGAAACAGAATATCTGAAGACGAGAGATGACGTATGGAATCATTGTATCTCAATCTCTAAAACTCTTTAAAATATGTATTGCATATTATTTGGACCAATAAAATTGATATTTCTTTGTTGTTCAATTTTTCACTTACCACTAATATTGATCTTTTTCTTAAAATCACTATAACGCAATAAGAAAAAAATGAATTATTGTGAAAATAAATATCTTTAAATTTATTTCAGTTCAGTTTTAATAAAATTTAAAAATTACATATCAAGATTTAAAAGTAACTAATAATATTACTGATGAATGATTTGAAATATATCTATTTTTATGAATTTTTATTTATTTTATAATTCAATATTTTTTTCTTAGTTTTTGTTTTTGATTTACGTTGAGTTTATAACAATCTATAAAATGGTTGCGTAATTTCGTTTTGAAATAGGAAATTCAATATATTGTTTTATACAAAAAAAAATATAAAAAGAACAAAGCAACCCAAATTTTTTGTGTACTTTTCTTTTACTATAGTAGGGATGTAAAAATGTTAACTAATATCTTTTGCAGCCCAGCCCGGCCCTAATAATTAAGGATAAAGCCCATGAACTTATTGAGGCCCAAGAAAAGTTCAAGGGTTTTATCTCAACTCTTCCACACTTCAAAACTCATTTGCATCTTCACCACCGGCCAAAAAAAATCCCATTATGGAGGAGATGGATCGTTCACGTGCGTTCGCTAAAGACGTTAGGCGTGTCGTTGTCAAGGTTTTCAATTCTCTCAGCTTTCCCTTTAACCTTTTGGTCGACGTTTTTTTTGTTTAATTCGATTACTTGCAGATTGGGACTGCAGTTGTTACTGGGAAAGATGGAAGATTAGCTCTAGGGCGCTTAGGAGCAATCTGCGAACAGGTATTTTCATTTTATGTTCTTGTTAATGTTATGTTCTTGACCATGTTATGTCTTGATATGTTCTTGATCGTGTTATGTTCTTGACCATGTTATGTCTTGATATGTTCTTGATATGTTCTTGATCGTGTTATGTTCGTGACCATGTTTAAGTCTTGATATGTTCTTGATCATGTTAAGTCTTGATATGTTCTTGATTATGTGAAGTCTTGATATGTTCTTGATCATGTTCTGTACGTTGTGGTTCATTACTCATCCCCTTTTAATCCTACGAAATTATAATGACAGCTTGCAGAACTTAACTTGGAAGGATTTGAAGTCATTTTGGTGTCATCTGGTGCGGTTGGTCTTGGTCGTCATAAGCTTCGATACAGACAATTACTAAACAGCAGGTTATGTGATGAGAAAACAAAACCCTAAAGTTTTGTGTTCGTGTGTTTATACTGATTCTTGATTTCTATGGATTTCAGCTTAGCTGATCTCTTGAAACCACAAATGGAGTTTGATGGGAAGGCTTGTGCTGCTGTTGGACAGAGCAGTCTTATGGCTTACTATGAAACAATGTTTGACAAGGTAATGATACTCACTTTTTTTTTTCTGTATTACAAATGTGAAGTGTTGTTTCTTTGTCTTCTTTCTTGTGTAGTTGGATGTGACAGTGGCTCAAGTTCTGGTGACTGATAGCAGTTTCAGAGATAAAGATTTCAAGAAGCAACTTAGTGATACCGTTAAATCGATGTTGAAAATGAGGGTTATTCCAGTTTTCAATGAGAATGACGCTATAAGCACGCGTAGAGACCCCTACGAGGTTTGTTCATCGCCTTTCTTTTATACTCTTTCTAGTTCCTCTGCAATTTGTAGTTTAACCTACAACTTCCTCAAACTTTTATGCAGGATTCGACAGGAATATTTTGGGATAATGATAGTTTAGCTGCACTACTATCAGTAGAGCTGAAAGCTGATCTTTTGATTCTTTTAAGTGATGTTGAGGGTTTATACTCTGGACCTCCAAGTGAACCTAACTCCAAACTAATCCACACATTCAGTAAAGAACAACAACAAGACATTACTTTCGGCGAAAAGTCCAGATTAGGACGAGGAGGAATGACTGCAAAAGTTGATGCTGCTGTTACTGCAGCTAATAGTGGCATTCCTGTTATCATAACCAGGTAAAACGCTATTTCCTACTCATGATTTATAAGGTACTAAGTAATAAGCCATCAACATATAATGTTAGGATGGGATAGACGATTGTGATACTTTTTCCTTGCTATTGTTTTTGGAAGTGGGTTTGCAGCAGAGAATATAAGAAAAGTCCTTAGAGGAGAGTGTGTAGGTACCTTGTTTCATCAAGATGCTCATTTGTGGACTCCGGTCTAAGATATTATGTCTCTTGCTGGAAGCTGCTGCAAGGGAAAGGTTTAGAAAGCTTCAGGTAATGTTAGGGGAAGTGTACTCAAATAGTAAGTTCAGAAATTATTGTTTTCTATTTACTCAACTTGTTTGCAATTTTCTTATAGGCCTTGTCTTCAGAAGATCGGAAAAAAAGTTCTAGCTGATATTGCAACCACTCTTAAAGCTGAGAATGATTTAGATGTTGCTGCACAACAAGAACTTGGATATGATTAGTCTTTGCATATGGCACTGATTCTTTACAGGTTGATGAATTATGATGATAAGAATTTATCAAATGGTGATAATTTAGAGAAAATGTGTATTTTTGTTGTTTTTAAAAAAAAAAATTTTTATTAGAAATTAATTTTAATATCTGTGCCCTTTCTGCTGTTTTTCACAATGCAAGCAGAAGACTCTTTGATGGTTTTCGATTTGGATTTGGTGCTGAGGTAGAGACATATTATGTCACATATATACTAAACTAAATAAAAATAATACTGTTAATGAATGAATGGCCAATGTGGTTTGCTCTTTACTTATTTTGTAGATGTAGGGATAAACTGAACTAGTATTGACAGCGAGAAGGTACAATTCATTGTTAATTTGGTTTTCTATTGTTCACTGATATGTTAAAACATGATGATGATGAATGGCACAGAATAATAAGAAGAAATGGACAAGTTGTGGGATGGAGACTTTAGTTGATTACACCCATAAGGATACTCTCATCTTAAAAACGGCAAAAGCTTAGAAATCGCTAGTTTTGAAGGTTCTTGGGACAAGATCATATAATATGTTCGAAGCTCAGGCTTGAAGATATACAGATTTAGGTCCATAACTCTTTTTTATTCCTAATATAAGCCAGTCTTAAGATATAAATGACCAGTCTTAAGATAAGACTAACTGAACAAAATAAGGATACAGTATAGTGAAAATAAAATTTCTCTTCAGTTAGGGAATTTTAAACCGTTTGACACATCCGAATCGCAAATTCATAAGAGAAAAAAACCCAAGAAGATAGAATATTTGGTGAAGAAAAAAGGTGTCTAATAAGTAAAACAACAAACAAAATCCAACATCTCTTTTGGGTTGCCACTAAAAAGGGAAGAGGAACATGAAAAAACCTCATCTCGCTGAAAGTAATCTAACAACAAAACTTCCTAGAGAGATAAAACAAGTTCCACCCATAAAATTAAAAAGAGACCAAGATTTTTGTCCTAAAAACCAAATGTACAATGAAAACTGAAGCCCAAAAGTGTATAAACATCTCCAACTTCATCTCTAATCCTCAATTGTCTGAATCTCTCCCATCATGATTCTGTTGCTAACCACATTGAATCCCAAAACGGATGCGCTCAAGCTTACCTTCTTTCCTTTCTTCGCCTTTTTCTTTCCTCCAACTTTTGAGAACCCGTCGTTTGCAGCGGTAGTGTTATAATAGTCTTCTCCTGTGTTGTTTTGTGTCCCGACTCCTCCCGAGCCTTTTGATTGGAATGCAATCTCAACTACTTCTGAAGGTAACAGGTCTTTGTAGTTGAGAAATTTGTCGATGAACTTGTGGTTCGGATCACGCGACCCGAGATTTTCTGTCAGTAGAGTTTCAGCTTCTGATCGGGATAGCTTCAGACAAAATTCCAAGACACTTGTATCTGGCAAAAGAGATTCACATGACATCAAAAACAGAATCTATATTTGATCAAAATAAAAGAGAGGATGTTCCTGTATATGTTCTTCAATCAGTCACAACAAGGTTACAAGACAATTAAACAGAGTGCTTCAGTTACAAAATGAGATAGACAGGGAAGGACCAAATAAAGACTACAGTGGAATATGAACTTTGTACCTTCTGAACCAAGAAGTCTGAGACATTCGCTTTTGCACCAATCTCTGAAGCCATTCGCCTCTGGGAAACCACAGAAACATGAGAAAAACAAGCCAATAGTTTCAGATAGACAGAGTGATTGTCAGTAAAAAGCATACCTGTGAGTTTTGTCACTGCCTCCTTTTTCCCTTTTTGTGACCCCTGAGTGACAACAGGTGAAGACAAAACCGATCCAGTTGAAACTGATTTCTGTCGATTCAGTGAAGTTCCCGCATTAACTTTTCCAGGAGTGTTTTTGGTTCCCCAACTGTTTTGACTTGTAAGATGAGGAAAGTCTCCCCTGCTCGAAAAAAACTCTCAGTTAGTCAGTCATTCAACAAATATAAAGTAATAATAAAATGCCAACTCAATTAGCATGTGCAAATCATATGGGAAAGCTGCTCCTTCAACATCACATATGACAACTTGGGAATTCAAGAAATGGGTACTTACTGTTTTGATTCCTGGGTAGATTGCTCAACTGGACCCCAGAAAAGGTCATCATCTCCTTTGGACTTTGACTGAGAGGAAGATTGAGAAATAGCCTGTGAAGGGGAAGATGCAGAACGTGACCAGGAAGCTCCGCCTTGATGAGCCTGTGGTGGAGTTGGTTTCTGGGTGATAGGTACTGGACTAGGGGGTGGATGAGATGACGTCGTCATCTTCTCCTGCTCCTTCACGATATCCCTAAGAGAGCTAGGTTTTGTGGACTTTTTAGGACCAGTAGACCATGCAGCAGCCGGTGGAGGATTGTTAACAGTCTCTCCTTTCCAGAGAACAAAATCTCCCAAAGAAGGCCCAGAAGGAATAGCAGGCAAAACTTCCTTCTCCTGCTGCTGCACAGCACGAGAACTTTTTCCCTTCTCAACAGAGTTTGTTTGGAGGGATGTATCTACAATAGGAACATGTGCAGCAATTTTTGCCCCAGAATTCTTAGCTCTCGCAGATTTCTTCCGACTCTTTTTTGTTTCCTTAGCCTCAATAAAGTTATCATCGTCTAAAGGCTCTGTATTAGTGGTTGTGACTTTCATAAATGCATCATAATCAGAATTGATTTCCATTACCTCCCTCTCTCTGTCACTGGATTTTGCCAAAACATCATCAGCCAGCAAGTCATGCAAGTGACTTTTCTTAGCCTTAAGAGCAGGGACACTTTCAGGCTTTCCAACACCGGTTTGAGTAACAGGTGACTCTCCATGTGTCTCTCTTAGTACGTTAGGATCTGAATTGGCAACAATCCCAGCCCAAGGAGCAGCCGAACCCACTGAACTCACAGTTGTAGAAATTTTTGGAGCTAAAGCTTCGGCTTGTGCTTCCCTCTGTTCTTCCATTTGAATTTCTAGCAATGACTTCGGTTTAAAGCCAGGAGCAGGCTTCCAAGCTCGTCCTGGTTGTGTTCGTGTGTTTTGCAGAGAAGACTCTTCTCCCCTGACTGAATCTGCTTCGAAACTCACTTGAGAGGTGTTTAAAGCTGTGGCAGTGGAGTTCATAATGTGGTGAGAATCACTGTCTCTCAAAGTGTCAGCCAACGTTTTAGTTTTTCCTTTTATCTTAGAATCATCAGCAGTTCCTGGTTCAGGTTGCTTCGCCTCTTGCAGAGGAGCTCTAGACGTTATCTTAGCCAATTCAGCAGACTGCTTAGCCCGCTGTTTCCTGGACTTCTTCTCAGAAGTCTTCCGTCCTCCAGAAACTTCATTGTTTTTAACTTCAGTTGCAGGAATCTCCACAGATAACTCACTACTGGTCTCTCCCTGTCCAGCATACACGTCCTTAGCCTGCTCCTCCAGCAACTTACTTTCACGTGTTTCGGGAGCTGTTATAGTAGCTGTGGATCTTTCGTTGTTTGGACAGCTCACAGGTTCTTCCACATTATGTGTAGCATGATAGGCAGGTGAGACAACAGGCTTTTCTGAGGACATGCTGTTCATGTAATCTGCAGAAACTGTTCTTTCATATTCTGATTTTGAATCATTTTTATGGGTATCATCCATTCGATCAGCCGGAACCATCCCCTCGTTCATCCTGGGGTCAACATTACCAAATAGCTGTTGTTGAACGTTCCGAGAAGGGGTTTCGAACGAAGCAACATTCTGATTACTTGCATGAGTTACTGGGAGTAAATTAGCTAAGTTGGCACCACGCTCCTCATGGGAAACAGGAACCTGCATCTGCTGATTGACCTGTGACATATCATTTGAGGGTTGCAGCCTGAGCGCATCAAAAGATGCTTGCAACTGCCCATAAGAAGGCTCTCCAAACCTTTGCTGAGAACGTTGTTGATCAGCAAGAACCTGGGAAAACAGCTGCTGTTGCTGTCGTAACAACTGCTGCTGCTCTTCTTGTTTCTGTTGGTGTTTCAGCAAGAGCATTTTTTCCACCAGTAGACGCTGATGTTGTGCAGAAAGTGGAGTCTGAGCATTCAACTGCAACAAAAGCTGTTGCTGCTGCAACAGATTGAGCGATTGCTGATCTTGAGAGAGTCCAGTGGCAAGCATCATATCGGGAGATAACATGCCACCAGGATTATTTTCAATAGGCTGACCAAGTAAACCTGCCAAAGGTAAATTATGCTCAGGCAGTCTCTGCTGTTGGACCCCAAAGGGAGATTGCGTTTGGAAACTGTTGGCATGAACCAAATCACTTTCCTTTTGATTGGATTGTGACCAAGCAGGAAGAGGACCACTAACAGCAGGAGAAGACCTATCCGTTACACCTTGGAGGATGGACAACAAATCAGAACTTGGAGAACGGACAGGTTGTTGAGCATTTTCTGACACATTCTCTGATCCTGGCATCAGGTTTGCAGATTCCCGACCAGGCCAATATGAATATGGACTAGGTATTGATCTCTGCCGCTCAAGTTCCATCTTTTTGGCCAAGAGATACATGTCTGCCCCACCATCAGTAACTGGTAATGACAACCCACCAGAACTATTTAATCCATATCCTTGAACACCTACAGAAACAACATGGAACAGAGAAAGTAAATAAAGTTACCAGTCTTGAACAGCTAATAGGCAAACAAAAGATATTCTTAAAGCACATGTAATGGGACTACCTTGAGCTGAATTGTTCAAACCTCCAGACATCAATGATTCAATAAACCGATTCTCTGCTACAGTCCCTGTAACATGCTTATACCTCATATCATTTTGCACCATCTCAGCATCACCCATCCCAGAATGAACGTTTCCCACACCAGGGAAGGCTGATGTACCAGCGGCATCAACAAATTCGTTTTGCTTGGCACCAGTAAAACCAGGTGGTGGACCCGACTTAGCCCGCAAATGCGGCATTACATCACCAAGTAATGAAAAAGGAGAATCATTTGGTGCAGTTGCAAGACGAACTAGCAAATCTATACCAAAATATCCAGCCTCAAACCATCCAATGATATCGGATCCAGAAAAAGGGCCTTGAATTAGACCCTGAGGATCTTTATAATAGAGTGAAAGTTCTTCAGGTGAAGATGGCAGAAGCTTTCTAACTTCCTGCTCCCTGTCAAACACCAGAGATGGCTGCCTTCTAAGAGCAGGATCTTCATTGATTTGCCATCTTGATTCACCTTTGGACTGTGGCAACATCATATTATTGCCGCCTAAATGATTTATTGAATCTTTAGGATGCGACCAGACACTGTCAGAAGATTTCAGCCTGCTATCAGCTGAAGGGTCATTCCAATCATGCGAGTTCCTATTCGACCTTTCTCCCGCAGAAGGCTGACGCCATGGAGAGGCAGATTGAACATGAGTATTTCCCTGCATACTGGGTTCTTTCAGTTCTCTGACAGGTACCTCATTGCCTTTCCTAAAAGGTGCATAACCTTCATGAGAAGCTGCAAAATGACAGAAACCATCATATGAGAGGCTAATACGAACATAGAATACACTTGCATATCATCTAAACTAAGTTGGCAATTTTAGATTTGCAACGCTTAAACTAAGTTGGCAATTTTAGATTTGCAACGCTTAAAGGGTTTTAATGAATATGAGTATGGAAATCAACATTCACTCAATTCCAATATCAGCTATTTCTAACACGACCAACAAGAGTCAAGAAAGCTGCAGGAAGGCCACAATATGTCAACGCATACCTTCAGGCCTAAACTTATCATCTGGATAGTTCCTTGTTTCTCCACTTTCATCTTTAGGTTCCTCGACACCAAATGTCATATCTTCCCTGCTTCCAGCTGCACCAAGGCAATAACAAAATTTACTCATTTATGTCATATACACAATACTAGAAGCCTAGATGTCTTTCACACAATTCTTACCAGGCCTTGTCCGCCTAGGCTGTGAAAACTCGACTGGATTTCGTCCACCAGGGCCATCCTTGGTTGTCTGAGGCGCACCACTGCTCACTATTTTTCCTTTCTCAATTGCATCCAGAATATTCTGTGGGTAATAACAAATATATAAAGTTGAGATGTGGATATTACAAGAAGAAAAAGATCAACTAAATTAGGAAATACTCACCACTTCATCGGAACTTGGAGCACAAAGAGCCAGAGGATCTGATGGCTGATCACACGTAAGGGAAGGAACCTCAATGAACCCATCTGGAAACTTTTCATAACACTCTGAGTCAGCCATCCTGTACACATCCAACAGTTTCATTCTGCTATATCTCAGATGGGGAGGCTCTCCAGGACCACTTTCCACCTTGTCAGAGGAATATCCAGGGGCGTGAGACTGGTTTGACGCGTTAGTAAAAAGGCTTCCACCAGGACTCAACCTTCCACGTCCAGCTGAAAAGATAGCAGTGTTTTCTCCGCGCCCCCTGCTGTGAGAGAAAGCTGGAACCTGCTTGTTCGGTGTTGATTGGGTGTGAAGAGCTTCCCCTCTTCCTCGACCTTGAGAAGGTCTCCAGGGCCGGTAATGGTCTCCATCACCAGTGGGAAGAGATGGACCCTTCTCACGAATGATTTCACCGTCCTTACCAGCTTCATCCCACCTATTACGCGGAATCTCAGCTTCCTTATCATCAGGTCCCCAGCGAGAGTTCCACTTGCTCTCACGCCGCTGCTCTGGCACAGCATCCTTGTTTCCTGAATCAGTCCACCGGTCATTCGGACCACGCCGTGGTTCTCCAAATTTAGGAGCCACATTATCCCACCTATCCACCTTCTTATTATCACCAAACTCTTTGTCCCCATTACGCCAGCGGTCTTTCTTAACTGTGGACAAAGTATCCCTTTCCTCATCACGCCAACGATGATCACGACGACCACTTTCTGCATCAAGTAAGGATGGCCTGAAAACATCTTTCTTCTTCAGATTATCTGGTGTCTCCTCCCCATTTCCTGTTGGTCTCACAACATCCGAGTGGCTTCCATAAGGATTCGGATCCTGTAAAAAGCAAACCACCCCACATGTTAAAACGAATACAAAACAAACAAAACTGCACACGTAAGCAATACAAACAAACATACCCCAGTTCCCATTCCAGTCTTGTTCTCCCCTGGTTTGGAGAGAAGCCACTGAGGTGAAAGAGGAATCGCATTGTCAGAACCCTGGATATCTGCACAGGACAACTCCACAATGTCACACTCTCTGATCCCTCTAGTAAAGACACAGTAATGTCTAACATCAAAACTGAAACAAATCCACATATAATGGATCTACAACAATACAACCAAAAACTTAAACTGATAAGGTAACGACTCCATGAAAAATTGATACCATTAAAAAAATCAGAGCTTTCAAAAACCCAGGAGCTAAAAACTTGTAATGTTATCACTATTGCTCTAAAGCAAAGGTTACGATCCAAAGAAACCAAAAACCCTAATTAGAGACTTATAAAGACTCTGTTAACGCTAATTTCAATCAAACGATTGAACCATCAAAGAGCTGTCTAAAAGAAACTAGGGATTGTCTTCGAGTCTCGTTAACGGAGAAGACTCAAACAAACAATCACAATCATCGCGTAGAGCAAGATTGGAAAAAATGGCGAAAAACACCTTTGAAGATCTGGTGCGGTGGATTGATGGAGAGATGCTTGTTGCGGTGGTCTGCGGCGGAGCCAGCGGAGGAGTTAGCCATGAGATTGATCGGTTTCGAAGTTACAGAGTTTACAAAGTAGATGAAGCGACAAAAGAGAGAGAGAGCGAGGAGAGATTAAGGTGAAGAGGAACGTAGGTTTTAAAAGAGGGGAGAGAAGCCCCAAAGAGGAGAGAACGACTAAAACACGGCGTAGGTTAAAGCTTACTCTTTCATATCCAGGCGTATTTTAGCGTTTCTCCGTTTTAAAAAAAAAATCTTTTTTTTTTCTTTAGGGTTAGACAGTTTCCCCATGATTATCCACTTTGTGTCTGAACTCACGCGTGTTTTTAGCGCGTTGTTTTCACTTTCCTTTTATTTTTTACTTTCGCGTGTTGTCTACGCGCTGATTTGTTTTTAACTTGTTTTTGTTGTCTACGCGCCGGTACGAACCGGGGACTATGTGAATAGAGTTGCGACGAAGGAAGGCTAAACCGGTTTAGGATTGGGTTTTGACTTTGTAGACTGTTTGTTGTGTGTACTGATGAAACACCACCACATGAGTTAGGAGAGTGTATCTTTATGTGTGGTTTGTAAAAGTCATGATTTTTACAATTTCTATAAGTTTTTATTTTGTGTCAAAACAAAATAAAAAAATAAAAGTATTTACCTTCTTTATATATATATATATATGATCATTGATCACTACCATTGGTTGAGTGAAAAACAAACAATTATTTTATCGTAAAAAGATTTAAAAAAAGTCACCATTTTTAAGGTTTGATTGGTTTTCTTTACAACCACGTGTTGACGTTAATAACGATGTTTAATAACATTCACATAATTTTTCTTAGACCGTTACGGATTGCTAAGAATTTTTTTTTTTCAAAAGCTTCTTTTTACATGCGTTTGCAGAAACTGACATCTATGCATATTCAATATTACAACTTCGTAGTATTCTTTTTTTTATGTTAGCTTTTAAGTATTTATTTAACTTTTTATATATGATCACAGTCATAGACTGAGTAAAAACAAAATATTATTTTATATTAAAAAAATATCATTTTTAGTGTTTGTTTTTATATAACCATGACGGTTACAATTTTTTTACGTTAATAACAATTTTTAATAACAATTACACAAATTTTCTTAAACCATTACGGATTGCTTAGAATCTAAATTTCAAAAAGACTTCTTTTCACCAACGTTTGAAAAACTGACGTCTGCGCATTATTCAATTTTCAAACTTCCATGAATTTATTTTTTTATTTTTGATGTTAAAATCATTTTAAGTATTTATATTCTATTTTAAAAAGATCATAATCATAGATTGAGTAAAAACAAACAAACAATTTCTCATTAAAAAATCATCATTTTTAGAGTTATATTTTTTTTATAACCACGACCGTTACAACTTTTATACTCTAAATTTAAAAACTTTTTTTTACCAACGTTTGCAAAGACTAACATCTGCGCATGATTCATTTACAACTTTTACGTGTCTATTTTATTTTATTTTTCTTTTTGAAGTTAAAATAATTTTTTAAGTATTTTATTCTTTTTTAGAAGATTATAATCATAGATTGAGTAAAAATAAATACTCATTTCTCATTAAAAATTTTATCATTTCTAGGGTTTGATTTTTATTATAACCACGACGGTTACAAATTTTTAATGTTGATAACAATGTTTAATAACAGTCACACAAGTTTTCTTTAACTATGACAGATTTCTTAGAATCTAAATTTCAAAAGCCTATTTTTACCAACCTTTGCAAAAACTGACATCTGCCGATAGTGGCAGGCAGACCCAAGAAAATATTTTAAGTAGGTGCAAAATATTACATAATGAAGAATTAAACCCATCACTTCTTATCTTATTGTGTGAAAATTAAACCATTGTGCCATTTTAACCATATTTCTATAAGTAAAAACTCAACTTTTTATAAGTTAGTGGGTGCAATTGCCACCAGAACCATCAACGTAGATACGCCCGACTGTGCATGTTCAATTTTACAACTTCTATGTATATAGATTTTTTTATGTTAAAATCATTTTTTAAGTATTTTGTTTATAAGATCATATTCATAGATTGAGTAATCATTTTCTCATTAAAAAAATCATCATTTTCTCATTAAGAAAATCATCATTTTTAGGGTTTTATTTTTTTTATAACCACGACGGTTACAATTTTTGACGTTAATAACAATCACACAAATCTTCTTAAACCATAGAAGATCGCTTAGAATCTAAATTTCAAAAGTTTCTTTTTATCAGCATTTACAAAAACTGACATCTGCGCATAATTCAGTTTTACAACTTCTATCTATTTTTTTCTATTTGTTTCTCTTAAAATTCTTTTATAAGTATTTACCTACTTTTTTTATAAGATCACAACCATAGATTGAGTAAAAACAAACAATCATTTTTGTATTAACAAATCATCATTTTTAGGGTTTGCTTTTATTATAACAACAATGGCTCATTTTTTGACGTTAATAACAATGTTTAATAATAATCACTCAAATCTTCTTAAACCGTTACAGATTGCTTAGAATCTAAATTTCAAAAGCTTCTTTTTACCAAAGTTTGCAAAAACTGACATATGCGTATGATTCAATTTACAACCTCTACGTATTTATTTATTTTTTCTTTTGAAGTTAAAATCATTTTTTAAGTACTTTATTCTTTTTTTATAAGATCATAATCATAGATTGAGTAAAAGTACACAATTATTTTCTTATTAAAAAAAATCATCATTTCTAGGGTTTGATTTTTATTATAACTACGACGATTACAATTTTTTGACGTTAATAACAAAGTTTAATAAGAATCACACAAATTTTCTTAAAATGTGACAAATTTCATATAATCTAAATTTCAAAAGCTTATTTTTACCAACGTTTGCGAAAACTGACATCTGCCGTTGGTGGAGCCATGAAATTATTTAAGTAGGTGAAAAAATATTACATAATGAATAATCGAACCAATCACTTCTTATCTTAGTGTGTGCAAATTAAACCATTATGCCACTTTAGCCATATTTCCATATGTAAAAACTCAAATTTTTATAAGTTAGTTGGTGCAGTTGCCCCCAGAAGGTCCAGAACCATCAACGCAGATCCGCTCTTGTCTGTGCATCTTCAATTTTATAACTTCTATGTATATTTTATTTTCTTTTTAATCACTTTTGTAAGTATTTTTTTTATTTTTTTTATAAGATCATAATCATAGATTGAGTAAAAACAAACAATCATTTTCTCATCTAAAAACTCATCATTTTTAGGGTTTGATTTTATAGGTAACCACGACGGTTACAATTTTTTGACTTTAATAATAAGCACATAAATCTTCTTAAACCGTGAAAGACTGCTTAGAATCTAAATTTCAAAAGTCTCTTTTTACCAATATTTGCAAAAACTGACATCTACGCATGATTCAATTTTACAACTTCTATCTATTTTTTTTTCTTTTTTTTTCTCTTAAAATTCTCTTATATGTATTGACTTACTTTTTTTTTAAGATCACAACCATAGATTAAGTAAAAATTAAAAATTATTTTCTTATTAACAAATCATCATTTTTAGGGTTTGATTTTATTATAACCACAACAGCACAATTTTTTGACGTTAATAACAATGTTTAATAACAATCACACAAATTTTCTTAAACTGTGACAGATTTTTTAGAATTTAACTTTGAAAAACTTATTCTTACCAACGTTTGCAAAAACTGACATATGCGCAGTGGCAGACCCAGTAAATTATTTAAGTAGGTGAAAATATATTACATAATGAAGAATCAAACCCGTTACTTTTTATCTTAGTATGTGCAAATTAAACAATTGTGCCATTTTAGCCGTATTTCCGTAAGTAAAAACTCAACTTTTGATAAGTTTGTGGGTGTAATTGTCACCAGAATCATCAACGTAGATCCGTCCTTGTTTGTGTATGTTCAATTTTACAACTTCTATGTATATTTCTTTTTTCTTTTTGATGATAAAATCATTTTTCTAAGTATTTTTGTTCTTTGTTTTATAAGATCAAAATCATAGATTGAGTAAAAACAAACAATCATTCTCTCATTAAAAAAATCATCACTATTAGGGGTTGATTTTTATTATAACCACGACGGTTACAACTTTTCGACTTTAATAATAAGCACATAAATCTTTTAAACCGTGAAAGATTGTTTAGAATCTAAATTTTAAAAGTCTCTTTTTACCAACATTTGCAAAAACTGACATCTGCGCATGATTCAACTTACAACTTCTATCTATTTTTTTCTTTTTTTTGTTTCTCTTAAAATTCTCTTATATGTATTTACTTACTTTTTTATAAGATCACAACCATAGATTGAGTAAAAACTAACACTCATTTTCTTATTAACAAATCATCATTTTTAGGGTTTGATTTTATTATAACCACGACGACACAATTTTTTGACGTTAATAACAATATTTAATAACAATCACTCAAATCTTCTTAAACCCTTACGGATTGCTTAGAATCTAAATTTCAAAAACTTATTTTTACCAACGATTGCAAAAATTGACATCTTCGCATGATTCAGTTATACAATTTCTATGCATTTATTTTCTTTATTTTCTTTTTGATGTCAATTTTTTTTTTTAAGTATCAAAGACAAATTCTTTGGGAGAGACTTGAATGTATTATTCGAACTCGAAATGCTCTATGGATTTTATTGGGTCACTTTTACGAAATCATATTGAATTCTGAAAAAAATACGTGGACCACCTCGTGATGAATGGAGTTTTAGGAATTTCCGTAATATGATATATACATGTGCTCTTAAAGTTCTACGTTCAAAAGGTGATAAATTTAGTTTGGTGAAAGAACAATATCAGCATACAATTAAGTGATGCTTAGATCGTGTCATGATTAATTCAGAATGGACTGATCTTTTTTCCAAATGCAGAGGTCGAATTTCTTGATTTCAATTGCTCTGATCATAAACAAGTTCTTACTACGATTAATCTCATTTCTCCGGCTTATAAGAAACATTTTTGATTTAACAAAATATTGCTTGGTCTAGCCGAGTGAGAGATGGAATTTCTGCAAGTATGGTTTTATTTGGTAACATATCAAATCTAAGATTGCCGAAGAGCTATGTCACGC